CATGCCGTGGGCGAGCTAAATTGGCTGAAATTGTGCCGTCGACCTTGACGGCTCGCCCGTCGCGAGAAACGGTGTCACCGCCGCGCATCCTCGCGTCGCTCTCTGAAAAGTGGCTAATTTCTCGCTGGCGATTTCTCTCTTTGTCTCTCTCTCTCTCTCTCTGTCTTTCGGCCTCCTCTGCACCGTGCAGCCGCGTCTTCGCGTGGCAGACACGGCTGCGCGACGTCGGCATGGAGGAAAATAAACGGCGCGACGGCGGGGCGCACGCACGGATCACAAAGTGTGGAGCCAACATCCTGCGTTAAATGTTCGCCTCGCTCCGGTGCGCACGCGCGCGCGCGCGATTTTTACGCCGTGGGTAAAATGGCGCGATTACCCGCGGCCGCTTTAGTAGTCCGATATGCATGGTGCGGCCAGACGATGTATATCGTCGACCACGGCGTATCTCCGAGCGTTAGATCGCACTCGCGACACGGCCGGATCTCTCCCCGTCTCTCTAAGGCGAGACTCGACGAAGAAACTGGCGCTTCTGAAGGCTGAATCGCTCCCGAGTGTTAATTTCCGAAATATTTCTTTCTCGATAAGTACTCGTTAACATTATATTTTTATAGACAAATTATAGATAAATAGAGAGAGAGAGGGAGAGAGAGAGAGAGAGAGAGAAAAGGAGAGAGATATTATGTATGTGACAAATTATAGGAGCAAATATTATATTTGGAGAATAATTCGTAAAAGTTGTACTGAGAAAAAGAAAATGACAGATTCGAGTAAATGATTACTCCAATACTTCTTGGCGAATTTTTACTTGGATCAAACAAATTTTACTTGGATCATGTAAATATTTTGCTTGGATAATTTACTTGAAAAGTAAATATCACTTGATCCGAGTAAAAATTTGCTAAAGGAATACTGGAGTAATTATTTACTTGAATCCAACACACTTTTCTGTATATAATTAATATTATATTTTAGATACACTCAGCTGTTGTATAATTTGTGTTTTGCAAAGTATTATATTCGTAGGTAAAATTTGGTAAATACTACACTTTTTAATATTTTATATTATATTTTATTTATATTATGTTTTATATTATTTTTTATTATATTTTATATTATATTTTATATTATATTTATATTAATCATATATTATATTATATTATATTTTATATTATATTACTCGGCTGTTTTAATTCGTGTTGCTATGCAATCGCTGTACTATTATTCTGGTGTTTATCCGCCGATTGACGTCTAGTTTCACTAGCGTCGACTTAATCTCTCCGTGTCTCTCTATTTTTCCCTGCGTTTCCTTCACAACAAACGCAGCATCCGCACGTTCTATTTATGTCGCAGTGGAAATTTTTGAATTTCCAAAGCGTGCGCCGCATCCCGCGGCAGCTGCGTCCACGCGCACCCCCTTCGCCACTTATCCTTGTCGCCTGTGACAAGCTCAACACACGGACGATGTACAGACGTCGACGAATTTCCGTCTGGAACGTCAACCATCTTCACCTTGACGTCCTCCGAGCGTCGGACCGTTGCCTTCAGTCGCAATTTATAAACGTGGGATTGCACACGATTAGTCATTCTTATGCAAGATATAAAACGCGATTAAACATTTGTACGGACTTTCGCTACTCGCGCAATTAGCATATAAATTAAAGATCAGACTCTCTTAATAGCCGGATCTTATATATCAAAGATCGTCTCGAGTTCATCTTCAGATGCTGTACGGCTCATTTTATTAGTTACGAAACATCTCAAGATGAACTCGACGCGATTTTGAACATAAGATAGATTAGGAATATAAGATCCGACTATTAATATGAGCCTCACTTTCCCAAGAGGAAAAATAAGTCAATTAAACGTCAATCAAGTTACATTTCACAAGAATGATAAATTTCTAGAATCAACTGTTCGGACATTGCGCCTGACACGTTGAAATATGAAGGAAACATTTTCCCTTCATATCGAGATTCCGAGTCTTCTTATTTCGAGATTCAAACGGACAGAGGCCTAGAATTTAGGACATGTCTAGGGGCATTAATACTTTTACCTCCGAAAATGACTTTAAGGCTGAGTTTATCTTGAAAGTTGCCGGAGAAGAATTGGCGTAAATACTGGCGAACCGTTGAAGAGGCCACTTGTTGCCATCGACGGCAAAAAGGCCGAACGCGCGAGGCGTCGGGCAGAGATCCTACAGTGTTCGCAAACGTAATTCGTAGTCCGCCGATGATACGTGCTCGGCATGAATCACGGCCAACAGCTGACCGAGCCATACGTCGACACGCGGCGCGCTCCCGTTAATTTCGACGCGCGAAGAGAGGAGCCGCGCGAGGTTTTCTCATTCCGCACTTTTCGGCCGCTGCCGAGCGTGAACAGAAGAGGATTCGCGGAAAGAGAAGACGCTCGTCCTTTTTCGTTTAACCCTGGCGGCGCATATGCTGCCAGGTGCTCGCGCCGCTGGCTAAAGGGTAGTGGAGCTTCGAACCTTATTTTCGTAGCTCATTCTTCGCGACGACTTCTTCGCCCGTCCGTCCGTCCGTTCGGTGTCTTTCGTTCTCTCACTTTCTCCCTGGCGGAGTGTCAGCTGTCGAGTATCCTTTCACACGGCGCTTTCCTCCGTAAGCGAAGAAGAACCGATCGGTCACGATCGGTGAAACGAGAGAACGGATTTGAAAGAAACGTTGGACGCGCGCGCCCCGAGACGATTTTGCGTCTCGACGCTCCTTTCTTGAGGATATTTCATTGTATTCGATTCCTACCCTCGACTCGGAATATATTCCCCTTTACGTAAGTATTCATTTACGAATGACGGTAATATAACAGCGAAACGACGTTTGGTATTTTGCCAAGTATTTCATATCTTATTTTCGCATGGATCCTAACATAAAAACTACATATTTCGCCGGGTATTTAATTTTCGTTGACTTTACTTTAATATTTTTAAGCATAGAATTATTTGAGGAAGAAATAAGAAGAAATAATAGAAAGAATAAGTAAGTAGATATATCATGGGTATTTGAATAATACTTGAAAAACTCGACCAGAATTGACGTCAAGGTGACGTTACGCACGCAATGTTGCGCAATCTAGGAGAATTCCTAATATAATTCGTAAGTTTTTCGCGGAGATCTCGCGGAAGCTAAATTAAATGCTCTGACGTACCGCTCGCGGCGGTAATGCGTGGCGTCCGGCATTTTCAAAAATCGTACCGCCGTGTCTCGTGAACGTGTCCTCCATTAGGTCGTTCATAAGCGTGGAAAATGAACGGGCCGGTAATAATCGTCTTCGGTAGGAGTTAAAGTCGCGGCATTAACTACATCCTGGTGAGACCCCTGCAGATCGGTTTCTCCCTAATTTTTGACGATACTCTGACGTCACGGTGTACCCGAGAGCCTCGGCGTGTTCCGGTCTGGCTGACCGAGGCCGGAAGCGGCAACCCAATGGGGAACTCGAGCGCGGACTCGAAACTCGAAATCCCCCACGGATATCGATGTGCCTGCGTTTAAGCAAAGAGGAAGTCGGCATTTCACCGGAGATGCAGCCGCTGTGTCAGCACAAGAGAGAGAGAGAGAGAGAGGAAACGCTCGCGAGGAAACATGTACACGTAACGCCGAGATTTTGAAAATTGTTCCGCGCGGATATCCGTTTCCATTTTAGAGACAGACAGACATATTGATGTCGCTAGATTCAACTTGCTCGCATAGTCAGTGGGAGAAAATTTGCAACACTTTTATTTCAATCACTTTCAGTACACGCTTTCAGTATCTGGTAAGAAAATTCATCTTCCGAAAATTCTGAAAGAAATAATTAGTGAATGAAAAAGCTTACAACACTTTTACCTCGACGAGCTTCAGAACGCATCAGATCGGATATCCAATAAGAAGGATTATTTTTCAGTAATTCTCACAAATTTCACTATTATTACTGAATGCTAAAATTTACTGAGATAAAAATGTCGCGATGCTCCCGCCATACGACGCACTCTTCGTATCATCGCGAGGTTAATCGTACGAAAACCACGCAACTACTGTTACACGACGGCTTTTATTTATACGTCGTGGACCTGCCAAAAGTTCTACGCCGCCCGGGAAGGATTTGCGGCGACTCGAAGGGCGATTCTCCGCCCGGGACATACTTCCACTTGGTCTCTCCCTCTCGCTCTCCGTCTGCTTCACCTGCTCGGTCGACCGTTTTTTCTTCTTGCTGCAAAACGCCCGACTCTTGCCGCGAAAATGCCAGAGGCAGTGCCGTGCCCACGACAGTCGAACGAATTGTTCGGTAATCTCATTAGCAGCCGCACGCTTACGCGAACCGAAAATCCCGCTCTTCGCCAAATCTATTGTATCTCCATAATTTCAAAGTGATTAACTTCTTCCCCTACTCCAAATCTTCCGATGGAAATGCCAACTGAGTCGCGTTTATCAAACGGACAGAAAGGAAAATCACAAATTATGATGCAATAACGGAGAAAAAAGTGGGAAAGAGAGAGAGGAGGGGACGCACTTTTCCCGCGATCGATCGCACGGCTCGATCGAGAAAGCAACTCGAAGGCAGAAAGCTCGTCTCGAAAGGCGATCGTGATCGCTCCTACGGGGCGCTACTTATAAGAAAAGGAAGAGGGAGAAGAAAAGGTAAGCTCGCCGTGTTCTCTTCCCTTCCACGCGGCCGCCGCGAGAGATCGCTTAGCATAATCCGTTGGACGGTTTTCGAGGCGAACGAGGCCGCGACGGCGGTGGGGGGACACGTGGAGCGCGCACGCGCGCGTCCGAAGGAACGCACGACGGTCGGCGGGCCGCGTGCGACGAGGACGAGGCGAGGAAAAACTCGCGCCATTTTTGCCGCGCAGCCCGCTCTGCGCACCAATCAGATTTGAATCGCCGCGGCTGGTGGTAGGGACCACCGGACCTCGTGGCTCCGCTCAAACGGACAACGTGAAGCGAGCTAGTTTCGCCGTGCGGAACGAACGATCCCACCAGAACGAGTTCGGCCGTGAAACGGTGAGGAGGACTGCGGCGCACGAGGATTTCGAGGGACGGTATCGCGCGACGGATCACTCGCGCGGGAGGAAACATCACAGAGAAGTCGGAGGGATCGAGCGGACTCGCGTCACCGACGGATCCACCGGTCTCGCGGCACCCGTCGGCAAGGAGAAACGGCGAAAATCGGACGTCCACGCCGCTCGTCGTCGCACCTACTCGGCCGAGCGCGGGATTTGCGCGGGAAAGCCGGCGGAAAGTAATCGAGATCGATAAGAGAGGAGGATCGCCCGGAGGATCGGCCGCTCTCGACTCGACACACGCACGCACACACCCGTCGGTAAACGCAAAGAGGGTCCCGAGATGCTGGTAGCCTCGATCTGTTGCGAACTCTACGTCACGGTGTTGCCCAACAAGAGCATGGCCTCGCGAGTACCACGCTGCCTCTTCGGCCGGCCGAGCTCCCGCGAGACCATCGAGCTGCTCCAGGAGGCGCTGGACGAGCAGAGAAGCAAGTTCGCCGCGAGATGGGGAGTGGACCCCTGCGCCGAAGACAAGGAGAACAATTATCAGAGACGGACCAACGAGAGGAGCGAGCCGGCGTGCAACAAAAAACGGAATAATAATCCGTATTCAAGGCAGACCAGCATTCATGGTGAGCAACATTTCTCTCTCTCTCTCCCTCGCGAAATATCATCAGCGATATCGGCGCGCGAACTCAATCGTTACGGACGAATATGCATGAGATTAGGAGCGATGAGTCATGCGCGACGCGCCTTCGGAAATTTTCTCCCGCGCGCCGGAAAGCCGAAAAAAAAAATCGCCGCGAGCCCGCCCGGCAACGGGGAAATGGAAAGGGATATTCCGGCTTCTTCCGGCCGGTTCTTCCTCGGCGTTGACGCTCGCAGCCGAGGTCTAAAAATATCTCTTACGCATAACTCAATATGGCATACCACGGCGTGATGTTCACAGGAGGCGGGAAACGAATTATGCAACACCGATCGCGCGCGCGCGCGCGCGGTGTCACACCGGTCGCGCTTTTCTCCTCCGTCGCGGGTTACTCGGCGATTGCGAGGTATCGCTCGAGTGATCGACGGCCGGTTGTAGCTAGTGCCCGATTTCGCCGAGGCCGATCGAACGTCAAGCCGAGTTGAAGCCTTTGTCCGGAGAGAGCTCCGAGCTGAGGTATGATCGTCCGAGGCTCGATGTTGGGAATCATTGCGAGCGATGCGCGAACATTCGCTCCGTTCGCTGGGAAGCGGAGCGGCCTCGATATCGCGAAGTGGGCTTCGCCGCTCTCTCGTGGCGTCGCGCGCTTTTTGGCGGGAAAGCCGGGCTCCAAGTGGAGAGGGAAGTTGGGCGCGCGGCCTGGTCGCGTGGCTCCGACCTGTTTTCTTATTCTAAGTCCGTCCCCTCCCTCTGCCTTCCTCTCTGCTCCCTCCGGCCACCGGTCGTTCCTTGCCTGAGTGTTCTCGGCTACTTGTCTTACGCGCTCCTTCGGGCGACCCGTCCCGCTGGGCTATCGTTCTTACGCGAGGAAGCACGCGTCCCGCCGTTCGTCGGAGCCTTCAACTTGGCAGGCAAACTTGGGCCGAACCGCGAGGATCCGTCGTGCCTTTTTCCACAAAAGGACACGCTCGCTGGCTGATTACGATTATGGTTTCGAAATGGCGGTTTTCCTCCGTGCAATTTGATTTTCCCTCCGCAGTCAACACTGTCGACGACTGTTATCGAGCTAGACGGACAACCGTTTACATTTTTCCAATTCTTCAACTTCGACGTCACGTCTCTGTGGTCGGGTCCCTCGAGGCAAATGATCTTTTTCGCTGAACTCGTTGCAGCTAGTTCGGTAAAAGGAATAGGTCAAATTGGCTCAATCGAAATTTCAGCAATATGTTAAGTTTTTAATTCTGTAATATAACAGGGATTAAAGTAGCAAGATTAATTTTAATTATTAATTTATTCTGATAATGTAATTTTACTCCTATTTTGACCTTAACGATGTCTGAAATTTTCGTTTTCGCTGTTTTAGTGTCAAAATAGGTTGTTCAAGGCAGCGTTAAAATTAAATCTATAGAATTAAAGGTTAAGAGCAGGCTTATATCAGTCCATGGACCATCTAAATAAACGCGAACTATCTTTGAGGGCGTCAAAGTAGCATCCAAATTTCGACTCGAAAAGGGTCTTACTAAAAACATGATCAAATGTAAAAGAATATATATATATTTCATAAGAAAAACTATAATATTCTCTGCTTGTATATTTACCACAATTTTGATTTGGCTTTCAACAGTTGCATCATGTTTGGGAAAGTATCGACTGTCTCGTGTACAACGACCGAATATGTACACGGTAGAAAGTGCTCGCGTTATCACGAAAGAGCAGATTGATAAGCGGGGAACGCATGGAGTGTATGATCGTGGGAAAGTCTGCTTGCTGGGTATGCAACGACGCGGTAGCGTCGAAGGCCGCGATCGAAAGTGAATCACTCTCGTCGTGAGTCATACATCCGAGGCGAGCGACGCGAAGTACCTGAAGGGCCCCGTCGTGAGTCATCGTGGGGCCCTAGATTCCAAGGAGTAAAGACGAACTCGCGATCGCATTCCTTGGATTCTTCGGCTCTTACATAGTGGTGTGTCTGTCCGCTCGACCATCGCATGAAGCGTAGTGCACAATGGACATTACATTTCTTCGGCCAAGGTGCAGTATTTTGCATGTTCTTTGCATGCGAGCGACTTGAGTGATGTTTCTAGTTCGAAAGTAGAGTCAGAAACTCGCCGGTTTAAATATATACGGCTTAGAAATACCGAGCGGTTATTTCTGACAGTTTCTTTCTTTTTTTCAGATTAATATTTTATTCCTTGTGTAAAAGAATCTGAAATTTTAGCGGCCAAAGGTTGACGCATGTTTGTTTTTTCTTTTTTCTTTTCTCGATACGTTTCGAAACGCATCCGACATTCAGCAAGGAAATCCGTGTTCCAGCAATCTCTCAAAGACAAATTCTTCCGTTGAACGTCGGCTGCATTTTGAGGTGCGTCGACCTTTGTGTCTGTGATTTTTCACATGCACACCAGGTTGGATTTGAACCAGTCTGATTAGTCAAATTTAGACAGATTTACTTTAACCTAACTTTGACTGCTTCTTTTGGAGCTTCTTTGTTCAATTGGAACGGTCCCTCGCTCGAGACACTCGAGGGCGGTAATCATACTCTGGCGGGGTAGAAAACCTGGCTTTCCCAACCTTTCCGAGCAACTTGGTTTCTCCCAACCTTGTCGTGCTTATAATCCGTCCTGATAATTTCCTACGACGGTGACTCCCTTGAGCAGGGACGGCGACGTCACGGGACCCTCGAAAAATTCAACGGAGCGGCACGACGCGGCGGCGCAACCATCCTCCTTTTCCACCGACACCTGTTAGCCCTTTCTACGGGCCCATGACGACTAGTGTCTCTCTTCCCACGATTAAATCAGACCCGCGAACACGCGATACCGGGACCTTTCGAAGGTCACGCACCACCTGCTGGGATAAGCTGCGCTCTCGGTGCGCGAGTAGTAACGCAGAGGAGGTCGGCTCGGAGCGACGACGTCGGCAGGCTGGCGAAATTCGTCTCGGTTGCTGATCCGGTAAAATATCAGGGACCGTAACATTGGTGCTTTCGTTGTCGTGTTGTCGTAATTTGTCTCTTATCTTGCCATTGAAAAGTTCGTTGAAGCGACCTGAAAAATGAGCGTCAAGTTTCCGCGTCAAGATCGATAAATTCCCCAAGCGAGAGATAACTAAGGGCATTTTCCATCTCCCCGTAGCATCTCGCAGCGATCGAGCCGGGAGCGGAAAAGCGATTCCTCGTACGGCCGCTGTTGTACGAGCGGGCCGAGAGACACGCACAGATCGTATCGGGAAAACGAGAAGCGATCGGGGTGCGTGTCATGGTGGTGGTAGAAAGGGCCTGGACGTTCTCTCGATCGAACGACGAGAACACGACAAAAGCGACCCTCGATCGCGCGACTTAAAGCGTATTCGCGTGGCTCTTCCGAAAAATCGGGGGCCGCCTCGAATGTAGTAGTAGTGGTCTCTCCGATTCTTACCTCCTAGGATGAAAAAAGCGCCGTGGTCGCGATAATGCCGCGGATACGCGAACAAAGAGGAATATTCCCAGGGACGCCCGAGAGACATATGGACAGGTAGGCGTTTGGGAAGCCGAGCCGGGAACGCATCTAGGATCTCCGCTTCGCGGCACGTTGATGCGCGGAGGCAGATGTCGGCGAGCGAAATCGCGACTCGTGCTCCGGAAAAAAGGTACGAGAGAGAGAGAGAGAGAAGGAGAGAAAGAAAAAAATAGAGAACATCGGTCGAGGAAGAGTTTGGTTTCGCGCGCCATATGGCGAGAACCGATACTAAGAAGTGAGAAACGCAGAGAGAAAGGGATCGTGTCCTCGACATATGGCTGTTTCGTGAATTTTGTTTCCTCCTTTTCCATCTTTTTTTGTTATCAGCCGAAACAGCCGATACGCGAGTGCCATTTCGCGGCACTTCGATCGTCTCTTTCTCTCTTCAAGCCGATGAAGAAAGCTGTGTTTACAAGGATAATTCCGGATGCGGTCGGCCGATAGTTCCGGGGCGCTCTGTGAGACTATAAAAGCTACGTCGTAAACGGAAGGGAAGGAAAATCCGTTTGAGAAAAACGCCAAGCGATGTTGACGTAGAGCCGAGGGGTATTAAAACTTTGTCTCGCGCGCACATCTTTCCGCGTTTCGTCGTATCGAGGCACGTCGTAGACACGAGAGGAGATTTCGCCAAACCGGTACGGCCTAACGTTAGATCGCACCTGTCAGTCGGCGAAGAAAGAAAAAAGGGAGAAAAAGACGGAATATAAAGGGAAACGAGGGTAGGGCGCTCAGGTGGCTACCTGATCGAAAGTAGGGTGCCCCTAAGACGATGTTGCGTCCGTGTGTAGTCTTTGTTGTGGAAATTTCACGCTGCTCCCGCACGGATGCTTCCATACAGGTTACGCAGCATCGCAACGAGATGACCTCGGCGACTCGCGTGAAATCTTCATGGGTCCGTCGCAAAACCACGAGAAACGCTTTACGGCTTGTTTTTACGCGATTCCAATTCGCAAGTGCTCACTGAGCTCCAATAAAGCCTTAAAGTTTATTAACTCACTCGCCCTTCGCGGGACAAAGGAATTAGCTTCAGTAGTAGCTAAATTAGTCGTAATATATGGATATCTGAAACTTTAGCAGCGTAAGTAATTTTAATTGCCGTGTCAGGATGTAACGTAAGTTGATCCTAATGATAGATTAGTCAAATAATCAACAGGCGTGCACACGCATATCCAAACACAATGTGCAAGCGAATGGAAAGACCAGCGAGTTTTGATAAATAGTAATGTAAATAATCCTAAGACTTGATTGAAATTATTCGTATCATTTGGAACGCGAACAAATGGCCTTATAATATCGCGTTATTATATTGAGAAATAAAATATTATTTCGCCGATTTTTATACCAAATATGCCTAACAAACGAGTCTCGGCGTATTATTTCAACCGTCGTCCGCATTGTCCGATCAATCGAACATTCGGAATACCAAATAGAATACTTTCGCAAACTTTTGACTGTTAAGTAACACATTATTCATGTTCCTGTTGTTTTTTCCTGTTGCAGATTACTGGCGAGCTCGAAAAATATGCGATGTGAATAAAAAGCCTCTGTCATCCTCGGTGGATGTGTCGAAGCAACAAAACATGGATTCGTCGAAAGCGGCGAAGACGACTGCCGCGATTTCATCGGCAGCGAAGACGATGTCGCCGAAGAAGATGATGTCGCCGAAGAAGACGATGGCGTCGAAATGAAACGTGCATCCTTAACGAACGCTTTACGTACATCAGACTTTATCTATGCTATCGGAATTTACATATTTATTCCTTCGCCACATTTCCGTGCATCATTATCATCGAATTTGCTGGGGGCGAGTCCCCCTCTCTTACAATTAATCGCGATCGCGGTGTATTAATTAAATTTTGTAAATAATTCGAATCAAGTTTAGACTTATGGAGGTTTGGATGGACGACTCACTGTCGTATTATAATTCCCGGCCGAAATGGCCGCTTTTTACGATCGATGATTCATCGTCTCGGCTTGGAACGCGTCCGAGTCGGAGAGTCTCGCTCCCCCTCTCGAGCGCTCGCGGCTTACCGCGTCGTATCGGCAGTTTCGCGCTGACAGATTTCGCGTCGCCTATTAGAGATTCCTTATCGGCAGGATAGTCCATCGGGAGCCTGAAGCGGTCGCTTCTTCGATGAAGCGACGATGCAGCACCTCCAAAGACTTAACCGATCACAAAACGCCAACTCGCAGCTCCGCACTCTCGTCACGCGAGAGACAGGAGAAATTCCTATGTTGGTTTAGGATTAGGAAACTCTTCTAGTCATCTAGTAATTTAAAGGAATATTAATAAACTATCGTGCTTTCATTCGTACGTGCGTTGCTCTTTATTTCTCATCCCTATCGCCCCACATCGGCCGGCGAAGTAACCGTAAAGAATTAGATTTTTTGTAATAAGAATTGCGACAAACCGCCGCCATTTATAGACTCGGTAATAACGTCATTTTCCTTGTCAACGAATTTTATTCTGACGTTTATTTAATTACACGGACCGACATTTTTTTATATTAGGAGTACAAATTAGTTCGGTCCGTTTTCAAAACATGGCTCTGGCTGTTACGAATGTTTCATAGTGACAGTTGATTTCGGTGGTTTCAGAGAGGTTAGACATCTGTCAATAATATTCAGTTTATATCGCTTTGAGTTTCATACAAAACCCCTGTTTTTTACTATGTTGAATATGTCAAATTTTGTGTTAACTAAGTAACGTTTGCGGGAGGTTTTAGTTTTCTGCTTTAATTGGAAGAAAAGTGTAGCTGAAGCGCATCGAATGCTTGTAGAAGTTTATGATGACAATGCTCCAACTGATAAATCATGTAGGGAATGGTTTCGACGTTTCAAGAATGGTGATTTCAGCGTTGAAGACAAGCCTCGCTCTGGACAGCCAAAAAGATTCGAAGATAAAGAATTGGAGGCATTATTCGATGAAGATTCGAGTCAAACGCAAGGGGAGCTTGCAGAATCATTGGAAGTTAGCACTTGAGCCGTGCATTATGAGAAAAACGGCCGGAATACGAACAAAGACATGACAAAGTTATTCTTCTGGATGATAACGCTCGGCCTCATGTCGCAAAAGTCGTAAAAAATTATTTGGAAACGCTCAAGTGGGATATTTTACCGCACCCGCCGTATTCGCCGGACATTGCTGCTTCTGATTATTGGTTGTTCCGACGGATGCAGCACGATTTGGCAGGTCACCGGTTCATTTCTTTCGCAGAAATCGAAAATTGGCTCCTAACTTGGATCGCCTCAAAAGACGAGACATTTTTTCGAGATGGAATTCGAAAATTGCCTGAGAGGTGGGAAAAAAGTAGTAGCCAGCGATGGACAATATTTTGATTAATCTGTTCATTCATTTTGTTCTGAAATAAATGCATTTTCGACCACGAAAAACGGACTGAACTAATTTGTACTCTCAATATAAAAATAATAATTAACAATATAACGCGCGTCTGTATTGGTTTATTTTTCTAACATTAAATTGAATCCATTGCGCTTTCCTTCAATATAACACCGATAGCTGTTAAACCAACCTACACAGCAGAAATACCCCAAATATATCATGGGGATGTCCTAAAGATATCGCAACGTCTGTAGAACATTTCCGTTATATTTATTTATAATATTTTGGATATTTCTGCTGCGTGGGAAATGTATTGAAAAAAAATTAGCAAAGTGACAAGGATGTTTATGATCAACAATATAGTAATCCCTTACAGTTACGCTGATCCGCCATGAAACAGCTCAACCAAACAGAAATCGTCACTTCTATGTCGCAACTCTTATTATAGGAACATTATAAAGAACCGTTTACCTAGATAAACTTTGCACAGTTGCACAATGCGTATGCACGAAGAAATCAAGACCAATCGCGTGTCTAAGATAAAACACGTCCTTTAGAACTGGAAGTGGACTTGCGGCAAAATTCAGTGAACACTATCAAATTAATTAAATGACCGGATTGATTGAGAAAGTAGCCGCTTCGCATGGTATTATATATCACCACAAAAAATCATCGCGTTTGGCTTCTCTCACGCATTGGGTCGAGCCATTTAAATTAATGATACGTTGTGCGAGCGTTATGAAGCGACAGGCGAATCGACGTTATCTGGCGGTTCATCGACACGTGGAAACACTCGAGTCGGAATCATCGAAAATTAGGCAGCTGAGCAGCACGAATCGCATTTTGTAACGGACGTTCTGTAACATCCACCTGGACGCGTGCCATGGTGATCGCGATACGCGCATGGGGGTAAACTATGGGCCGACACGGCAACGTTCGTTGCTGTACACGCCTATTGCGTGCGGTTCTACGCATGTGGCATCGAAATCTGTGCCTAATGTGTCCTCATTATATCGCAACAATGTTCTATTTCTTAGACGTGTGCGAAGACACTATTTCGAGGGATGTAGATCTGATCTTCTAAGATCAGAAACGACTCGAATTGAGTTAAACGAACTGAACCGAAAAGTTTTATATGGCGTATTAAACGGCTTGATTCTTTCAATAAAATTTTACTCGTGCTATACTTGTGTTACACAATTAGATCAACGTTTTGATTATTGAAAAGAAAGCGCTTATATCGTACGTATGAATATTTCTCACAGTAACTGTCACTTTTACTCTGCCTTTTTATCTGAAGTCTAATTTGAGGGGAAATTGTTTTCAATTTTCGTCCGAAGATCTCTCCAAACTTCAACGACGTTGAATTTCCGAACATTTTCTTTTATCGTTGACTAAATTTTGCGATTTAAATTCCCGCGTCAGACTTGATTTTTGCTCAATTCGACTCGACTGCGGTTCGCCCGACAAAAATGCACGTAACCCTGAGGACTCGGTTCTTCTTAGCCGATTTTTTCGACGTAGGTGGGCAGTTCGCTCGTGCTTTATACGTGGGTAGGTATGATCATGAATACGGGGGTGGCGCGGCGAGGTCCCTGTACGGTTAATTATAATGCACAGTACATCGTGGGGTCTTCCAAACCATGAGGGAACTCCGTGAACGAAGGGAAGCAGCTGGTTCGTGGTTTTAATGGCTGTCATCCTAGTTGGTCGTTTCGATAATGGTAACTAATGCGGAGCCCTCCGAGAGCGCGCCGAACCGTATATCGTTAAATCGAATATCGACGAAACGCCGCTTCGTAAATGGACTCTCGACCGTTACACGTTGCAACGGACGGTTCGATTAATATCTACCGGGTGATTAGTGCGAAATCACTGAACTCGACAAGTTTGGGCTTACGTACGCACGTAGGGGAAAGTGTCGAGTTGGACGTGTACAAAGAAAGAGTTCTGTTGTAAAACAAATTATAAATATCACATATGATTCAATGCACAGGATGTTTCGGTCACGCTTTTAGATTTAGAATTTTGTAAGAAATTTCTAATTGAACGGCCATTACGTTGCTCTTCGAGTGCAAAGAGTTGAAGCTCAACTCGAGTAAATTCCAGTCGACTCCCGTATGCGGAATTATTTTAAAAAATAGTACGTAGTTTGCAGATGCATTCTGCACCGTAGAATCAAGCGAGAAATTATAAGAGCGGGAGAAAAAGAGAAAGAGTGAAATTTGTAAGCATGCTCACTGTGAAACGAAGCTGAAGCAAGCTGCATTATCGTAGATCGTCCAAAGCTGGCTTTCAAGCCTTTCACATTTTGAAATTCGATGCTTCCGTCGGTTCGATCGACAGGAGGTCACCTCCAGGTGCGCTATCGAATGTACGTTCACCGGGCATCTATCATCGATACGCGCGCAACGCTCCCCACTTATAATTGATCGAATTAACAGTGGGGCAAATTTACATGGGAATACAATATCGGGACGCCACCTGAGCGCGACAAATTACCGGTGCAATCGATTTCGACAAATCGCACCGCGATCGAGCGATCCGTCAAATATCCTCCTTTAATGCACGGAACCCTATCGATCATAGTTTTTTTTTTTTCTTGATTTATACTCGTATCACAGTCAGCCTGTTAATCAAACGAATATTTCGTCACATCCATCACTGACGAGGCGAGCGAACAATTTCAATTTAGACGCATTTTGCGTGCACACACACACACACGCACACGGTGAAGTTTCCTTTGTCCATAATATCCTTTTATTCCTCTTTTAAAGACTTTGATGACGCACGTGAGCCGAGAATATAAGGTAAAAGATAAAATCTCCGTTAAAGACTCGGAGGGATCATGCCCGTCTCATCCGTCTCGAGTGTCATCTATTACGGTAATTGTGTACAAAGTTCGTATTGAATCGTTCGCGTATTGTGCAGGCAGTGGCAGAAAAATCGTGATTACATTCGTTATTACACCGAGGAAAAAAGCTTCTGGTGCCTGTAACTGTAATCGCTCGAGCGGAAGAATTATCGTCAGAAGAGTCATTTTTCTGGTGAACGTTGCTACTGTTAGTGTCAGTAATAACCTTAAATGCATACTGCTACTATTATTTTTAGATTGAAACCAGAAGAAGAGATAATTGAGGTGGAAAACGACTAAAATCTTAGTGGGAGTTTATCTCAGTATATATTCTTGTTTCTGAATGATATTCAGAAGCCGTCCGACATTCGATATATACCGAGAGAAGTTATAGTTATTTTCAGCTATACCTTTCGTTCTCATGGTGTTAACCACCAAAAACAACACAGCAATGTGCATATAAGGTTATTATCACTAACACTGTGCATGGAAAAAAATGAGTGTCAATTCAAGACTCATATTCTCATATATATATAAGCAAGAAAGTAAGAAACTGAATCTTCCGCGAATTACTGAGCAAGCAAATTCTCTCCCATCATCCGACGGGAGACGAAACTCATCGAGGCAAAATGTCACATCTCTCCGATTATCGGACTGTATCTGTGACAAGTGAACCGGCAACGGGCCGTTCTCTCCCGCCAAAAACCTCAACCGTCACCGGCGCGCCGGGCGACGAACGAGGCGTCGCGGGAAGAATCGTTGGCAAGAAAGCGCGTGTCGGCAGCGGCGATAAATTACGATCTTTCCGGTGGATCGGGGTGGTCCGAAAATGCGTGCAACAACGTCCGATCGGGGGATCGCGAAATGATGTCCACAATGGCGAAAACGAACTCGCCCGGTAGCATTTCACTCGTCAACGGTAGCACGCGCCCGTCCCCCTCGCCCCGCGCCGTTGACGTTTGCAACGTATATTAACTAATGCCCCGTAGTAAACACGCGCCCGAGGAAGATCCGGCCAGCCGCTCTAATTAAAGGACATTCATATCGGGAGGCCCGCTTTTTGTCCGACCCCTTTCACTTTTGGCTTT